GTATAATTCTGGGACAGGCCTGGCATATGCAAGGCCCTAGGTTTGATCCCAGGAAAGGAAGGAAAGAAAAGAGGGAGTGCATGCAAAACTGCGAATTCTAGGGTAACGGCAGTCCAAGCCATTCCTGACTCCCTCTCCAGCCTAACTCCTTTGTTCTTTGATTCTCACAGAGAATTACTATGTTCCCAGAGATGGGGTTTCTTGGCCCTACTTGCAGTTACATGTAGCCATGTGACTTGAGTTCTAGCCAGTGGAATACAAATCGAAGTGCTGCATGCCATTTCTGGGGCTGGCTCACACAACCCTCAATGTACCCTGCCATGTGATCTTTCCTTCTGGCTGGCAGAACAAGAACAATACAAAAGCTGCATAATATATGGACAGTAATCATCTTCATTTGTGCTGATAAAATTGAAAGATAGTGTTTACAGCAAAGTACAACTATCAAAAGTGACTTTAGGGGCCTAGGTGCCTGCCTAGCAAGTGCAAGGTCATGATTTCAATCCCTGGCACCCCCCCCCCGCAAAATGCAACTTTAAAAAAGACAAAAATTATTCAAAAATTAAAAGCAGAATTATATAATTTGCCAATTCTACTTCTGGATATATCTAAAAGAACTGAAAGCAGGATCTCGAAGTTATTTGTACACCCATGTTCACCATAGCATTATAGCCAAAAGATGAAAGCAGTCCAAATATTAATTTGGATAAAGGAAAAAGCAACTAAGTATAAATCTGTATAAAGAAAGTATTGGTGAGTTGGGGATTTAGCTCAGCAGCATAAGCGCCTGCCTTGCAAGCATGTGTTCGTGAGTTCAATGCCTGGTACCAGTAAAAAAAAGAAAGTATTGGTATACACACAATTTATAATAGACGCATACTGCCACATAGTTAAAAGGGAAAGAGGAGTTGTTTAAATGGGTATAGAGTTTAAGTTTTGAAAAACAAAAAAGTTTTGAAGACTAACTATACAACAATCTGAATCATATGTAAAACTACTAAATTAGCTGGGCATGGGGACATAGGCATATACTCCCAGTATTTGGGGAATGAGGTAGCAGGATTGTTGCAAGTTCCAGCGCAGTGAGACTCCTCTCAAAAAACAAAACAAGGGAAAAAAAGTTATTAAATTGTGCACTTAGTTAAAAGTGGTACATTATATATACATATTGCCATAATCAAAGATAAAAAAGAAACATGGGATTTTAAAAAACCAAGGCCCAAAATTACATAAACAAGCATGAGTATTTAGGAAAGGTGATAAATGCGTTATTTTAAATAGACAGTAGATACATAGGTTAGTTTCAAAAGTGGCCATAAGTAGCCATATGGTAGGACCAAACTGAGAATCAGAAGTAAGCAGGAGGCTTGCTTTTACTCTGAATGTCTTGTGGTGGCTCATATCTAGATGGCCCCCAAAGCCTCATACAGCCATAGATGGGGCTTTCCAGAAGTGGCTGGATCCAGGGTTATGTGCTGCTGGGACCCAGGACATGACGCTGGAATTAATGATATGAGTGTCCCCTCCCTTGGGATAAAGTACTCGGGAAAGGATGCTGCTGAGTCCATCGCTTGTTGCTTGTCACTTGTTGCTTGCTGCTTTTACGGCCTTATGCCTGCCAGGAACTGTTTCTCTTCTGTGATGTTCCCCTGTAGTGCCACCTGCCTTGAAGCCAGCCAACTACAGACTTAAACATCTATAAACCCTAAGATGAAATAAAGCCTTCCTTCTTTTTTTTTTTTTTTTTTTTGGGGGGGGGGGGGTACCAGGGATCAAATCCACAACCTTGCACTTGCCAGGGAGGTGCTGAGCTAAATCCCCAGCCCCAAACCCTTCCTTCTTTAACTCTGGCTGTCAGGTATTTTGTCTCAGCAATAAGGAAAGTAACTAAGACACCTTCCATTATGGCAATTTATTACTTTTCTTTAAAATTAATGAAATAAGCAAAAGTGAAAGAAAAACTTAACAGCATCAAATCCTGATGATTTTACAACTGATATCTAATTAATTTCTATAGTTTAAATTATTTCAACCTTAGCCAGGCATGGTGGTACAGGTCTGTAACCTCAGCACTTGGGAGGCTGAAGCAGGAGGATTTCTGTGAGTTCAAGGCCACCCTGCACTATATAGCAAATTCAAAAAACTACATAGGAAGACCCTGTCTCAAAAATTCAAAAATCATTCATTCCAAGCCACAGAAAATACTGAAACTCCCAAATTCTTATTTGGCACAAGTAAGTGTTAAAATAATTATTTTTAACAGAAAGAACTCACATTAAATAAACATTTTCTGAGAATCAGAATGAAGCAATAAACGGAAATGTTTTATTAAGTGCTGTAGTGTTATGGTAGTATCCAAAATATTCCTCAAAAAGTTTGTGTTGAGAGCTGGCTGCTGATCAGCTTCTGGGAAAGTACTGCACAATAAGGGTCTGACATAATTTCACAGCGTTGTTAGGAGGTACATACGCAGGAGTTGAGGCCTACTGAAAGAGGAGTGAATTATGAAGGCATAACCTTGGACGCTAACATCTGGTTCCAGATCCTTCCTCTCTGGTTCTCTTACCTTCTGTTTCCTGGTTGCTGTGAAATGAGTACCATATAAGCATACAATAAATTCTGAGAAAGAATAATCACAGGCACACAATGAAATTCATGACTTTCCCTAACTCCACTCCTGGGAATAACTGATTGGTTCTCTGTCCCTAAATTTTGTTTCCTCCACAAATTATTTTAAAAGAAATCCTACAGGGCTGGGGATGTAGCTCAGTGATAGAGTATATGCTTCACACGTACAAGGCTGTGGCTGTGGTTCAATCTCCAGTGCGGCCAAAATCAATCATTCATTCATTCCAAAGATTTAAAAAAAAAAAAAAAGAAAAGAAATTATGCAGTATTTCTTGAGTCTATCCTCCTTTATTTAATATAGTATTTTTCTGAGATTAATAACATTGTTGACTCAATAGTTACTTCTAATTAAAGAATAATATTCCTTTATCTCAGTATACCACAGTTGATTAGGTCAATTGATGGACACTGACTGCTTTCAAATTTAGGCTATTAAGAATAAAGTTATGCCGGGGTTTAGCTTAGCAGCATAAGTGCCTGCCCTGGCAAGCACGAGGTTGTGAGTTTGATCCCCAGTACCAAAAAAAAAAAAAAAAAAAAAAAGAATAAAGTTATGATGGCTTTTGAAGTACAACTTTTGGAATAAAGAAATGTCTTTGTAGGGCTGGGGATTTAGCTGAGTGGCTTGAGTGCCTGCCTGACAAGCACAAGGATATAAGTTCGATCGCTGGTACCAAAAAAAAAACAAAAAACAAAGAAATGTCTTTGTGTGGTAATTTCCATATTAAAAGTATATACATAACCTTCATTTTCTTCATTTTATGAATGTAACTTTTAACATTTGTATCTGTGAAGTTACAGTCACAAAAATAAATGCTGACATATGTATGTAATTTTTTTTCTTGTTCCTAATCATTCTGTGCTTAAAAGTTTGTATGCAATTTCAATACTAATAGCTTTCTGAATGATACTTTTTCAATTTTAGTTGAGGTATGATTGACAAATAACTATATATTTAATAAATGCAACATACATACATTTTGCAATGATTACTAGAGTCAAGTTAATTAACATATCCGCCATTCTATATAGTTTATGTTTTTTGATGGGATGGGAAGAGCTGAGAACACTTGAGATACTGTCTTACCATTATCAGTTCTGGAATTAAATAAAGATAACTGAACAACTTCGTGGATATACTACAAGTCAACAAACTGTATGCATTAAAGGAATGAATTTTATAGTACATAAATTATACCTTATTAAAGTGAGTAAAATCTTGGGAGAGTAGAGCTCTGACCAAAAAGCTAGGGATAAGAAAACAAGACCAGATTGCCTACATGGATATTTTAAACATCTAAAGGGCAAAAAGAACCCATAAAATTTAAAAAGAGAAACCAAATTAAAAATACACCTCCTCTATAAATCAATAAAGACAATTCAATGGAAAATGAAATAAATCATTGAAGATATACAAATGACTGATAAACATTTACAAAGATATAGCTAAGATTACAACATAAATTTACTTGAGTATTATTGAATCTATAGTAGTTTTTTAATTATTTCTATTTTCCCAGTAAATAGAAACCAACCAACCAACCAAATTTACTATTGTGAAGGCATTGCAACAATCTAACATGAAAAATGGTGTCCTCAAAAGTGGGAACATAATAAGAGAAACACAGGAGAATAACAGACTCTCAAGAATTACCTAATTCATTCATTTACCCTTCAGTCCATAAATTTCCTACCCAATATTTCTACAAAGTCATAAACCATCCCAGTAACTTCAAACACCTCTATCTATGACCAAGCAATTCATTTCATCTCTAGTCAGCTAAGGCTGACTAAAGTAATAAAGCAAATATGTATGGCAAAACCGCATCATAAATGCTCATTAAGACCACAGGATTAATACTCAGCTCTGTAATATCCTTAGAATTATCAGTTGTTAAAGTGCTAATTTCAGTATAGTCTATATGGTAGTCTGCTTTCTTAATAAAACTGTGTGAAACTGTTGTAAAATACCTTAAAACGGGTTACTAGATCATTTCAGTAGTACCAATTGAATACACGCCTAAATACATTCAAATAACACACTTATAAAAGTGACAAGAGTCTAGCAGGGCAATTCCTGAAGTGATTATTAATAAAACTAAATACAGTAACTGCCATTTAGTCTTTTGTGGTAAAATAAAGACACCAAGAGACTGTTTTAAATCTTTAATCACTGAATGGTATTATTTAACCCGTCCTTGAAAAAAAATTATGTATGTCTCTGCTAAGACCAGCAAATAAGGAGACCTAAGAAGAATATAATTAAAATGAGCCTCTAAAATAAACTGCTTAAAGAATGATAAAGTAATACACACCTTAAGTAAAATAAACTTTCACATTGGACATAATGGAAATTAATTCTGTCTCCTTACCTTATTCATGTTGTTTTCATCAACCACATCCTTAGATATGTCCTGGATTACTTCCGGACACAAAATAAGGAGAATGATTTGCAGTGGCCAAACTGCTGCTTTCCGTTTGGTGCTTTCAGCAAAGCCATCCACCAAGTCAAACAGTTTTTCTGCACACTCTAATATGAAAAATATAAATATTAAATTCATTATTAGATGAGAAGAAAATCTCTGACAGTAAATTAAAAGGCAGCACTATACAAAAACCCAAAGGTCACATTTCTAAGAAAAAATTTGGACATTTAAACAACTACACAATTTCATTTAGTTAAGCAGACAAGAAATGTGACACTGTTCATGTCTTAGGACAGCTATCTCAATGCATGGAAAAGCAAGTGTTTTACAGTGATCTTGTGTTTTGTCTCAATATGAAGGTTCCTTATGCAAAATGTAATGCAGTCATGCAATAAAGACTAAACTGCTTTCTAAAGAGATTCCAAAGTTCCCCAAGTCTGTATGCTCCACCTTGCAGCTATGTCCCAAATATTCTTACCTCACAGGCAAAAAGAGTATTACTATTTTAAACATCTCTCTGTAAATATAAAGCCTTAGAATAAAAAGAAAGGTAGTTCTCTGTAACTGCCACGAAACATGCCAATGCTAAAGATTAAAGATTAGAGTTTGGAGCCAGGGATAGAGAGATAAAAGAGATAAGAGATACAGTTAGAGATAGATAAGATAGAGAGAGAGAGACAGAGAGAGAGAGAGAGAGAGAGACAGAGACAGAGACACAGAGAAGAGAAAGGAAAGAGGAGAGAGGAGTCAGGGGAGAGAGGGGAGAGGAAATGGGAGAGGGAGCAGGAGGGGGAGAGAGAGTGGGAGTAGGGGAAGGGGGAGAGAGAGGGAAGAGAGGAGGGAAAGAGGGGGAGGAGAAAGGAGGGGAGGGGAGACGAAGGAGAGGAGAGGGGAGAGAGAGGAGGGGAGAGGAGAGGAGAGGAGAGGAGAGGAGAGGAGAGGAGAGGAGAGGAGAGGAGAAGAGAGGAGAGGGGAGGAGAGGGGAGGAGAGGGGAGGGGAGGAGAGGGAAGGAAAGGGGAGGGGAGGGGAGGGGAGGGGAGGGGAGAAGAGGAGAGGAGAGGAGAGGAGAGGAGAGGAGAGGAGAGGAGAGGAGAGGAGAGGAGAGGAGAGAAAAGGAAGGAGAGGAGAAGGGAGGGAGGGAGCAAGGAAGGAAGGAAAAAAGAATGGGTTGGGCAGGTGGGAGGAAAGAAGGAAGGAAGCAGATTAGAGTGCATTTCAAGCTTCTTTATTTGCCCAAAGAGAAAGGAGGTAATTTTAAAATATGGCCGAAAAACATTTTTTTCTCATTTGATCTCAGACAACAATAGCATATATGAAAGCACCTGTGTTTAAAAAAGTAACTTGGAAAAAATGTTTTAACCTCATAAGAGAGAATTTAAAATAAAATGGTTAAAAAAAAACAAAAACTTTTTCTTACCAGCCATATCAGTCTGTGGAATCTGGTATAGCTTTGTAAATTCATCTGGATAATTTTCTACCCAGTTCCAAAAGGCCTACAAATAACAAAACATACGTCTTTGTATGACAATAGTACACTTTTCTTAATATAGTAAATGTCCCAGTTCTACTTCTCATAAAAATATTGCAATGCATTCTTCCTAAAAGTTAATGTGAAACTATCAGTCATAATTTTTATTCAAATATTAAAGACAGTAAAATTGATAACCAAACCCAAAATTTTAATATTGAAGAGGTTGTATCTTACCTTTTCCAGGCTATTTATAACTGCTAACTGTGCAACCTTCTTTAGGGCTTTAAATTTAAATGCTATTTCTGGAAAGAAAAAAATTTGTTTCAATTAACTCTATTTACCAAACATAAATACAGATCAAAGCTGCTAGCAAAAATAACTTTCCCATACTATTTTGTTCCAATACTATTTATAGGCAATGTAAAGACAATTAATATAAACCCAAAACTCATTAGCAATATCCACTAAAGACAAAATAAAAAGCATATGTGTCTTGACTTCAAAAGTTGTCATTTTTTTTCTGTTTCATAAAAATTTGCTGTTTCAAAAAAAAAAAAAGTATTAACCCATGGTCACCGTGTGGCCAGATATGATGGTGCACATCTGTAACCTCAGCGCTTGGAAGGCTGAGGCAGGAGGACTGCTGACAGTTCTGGGCCAGCCTGGGCTACAAAGTGAGCTCAAGACCAGTATGAACTGCAAAGTGAAACCCTGACTCAAAATTAACTACTTAATTTTAAAAAACATGGTCACTGTGGAAAAATTTTAAAATATACGCCAGGCATGGTGGTACATGCCTATTATCCCAGCATCTGAAATCAAGTAGAAGGACCCCAGGTTCTAGTCTAGCCTAAGTAATTCAGCAAAACTTGTCTCAAAATAAAAACTAAAAATGAACTGAGGATGTTGGCTTAGTGAGAAAGCCCTGGGTTCAATTCATAGTACTGATATCAAATAAATAAAAATAGCCCAAGAGAAAATTAAAATATCATTCATGATTCTACCATAGAGACAACTAGTTAACAGTCTGGTGAATATTATTCTATCCTTTCTTCTATGTATATATGAAACAAAATATTTAACATAATCAGATCAGAATTGCCATACCAACTCCATCCTTTTCACTTTGTACAATACCCCCAAATTTTTCCAGATCATTAAAAAATTCTTACATGTATTCTTTGATGACTCTACATACAACAGTAAGTTTTACTATTTTTTCAGCATTAGAATGATAGTTAAAACTTTCAAAATGCTAATGTTTTCAAAATATTACAGATAAGTAAACTGTGTGTCTACATTACAGATCAATTACATGACTAAATTAAACTTCAAAGCCATACTCTTTCTAGAATGCTATGATGTTTCTCGGAAAATCAGAGTTAAATCATAAGTTACTAAAAGCTTCCAGTTCTACATTTATTTTCAGTATTTTGTACAACAATAAATACCTTTATATGCAGAGCTTTTTTGATATTGTAAGAAAATACCTGAAAGTGGAAGTGGCTGATCAAGGAGATGAATACTGTTAAGGCTGCCAAACTGCTTTTCAGAAGAGTTGGGCCAAATGCCATTCCCATTTACCGACTTCAGGGTGGGGTTATACCTAAGTGGTGGAGCACTTGTCTAGTATACCCAAGACCCTGAGTTCAAGCTCCAACACCACAAAAAATAAAATAAAATCTTGCAAATTCTAACCATGAATTGAATGGCTATCAATTATAATCTAAATTAACTGTGATGCATATATGCATACCATGTCCTAATATCTAAAGTGTGTTTTGGCTTTAATAAAGTTACTGAAAATTTATTAACTATTGCTTGATTTTTACAATGGTAATATCCATAAATCATGAATTCATTTTTTGAGGACTCTCCATATAGATTTACATTACAATTGTACTAGTTTACATTCCCACCAGCAATGTAAAAGCTTTTCCTTCACAATCTCACCAGCAGTGATTATTTGATTTCCTGATGATTCTACCATATTATTTTCAAAGATTCAAAAGTTAGTGAAGGGGCTAGGGGTTTAGCTCAGCGGCATAAGCGCCTGCCTTGAAAGCAGGCAGTCGTGAGATCGATCCCCGGTACTGATAAAAAGGAAAAAGACAAAAATAAATAAATAAATAAAAATAAAAAGTTAGTGAACCATATGTATTACTGGTCATTTCACAAGAACACTGGACACTTTGATGCACTAGTTCAACACAATCTAGTACATTCATAATGCTGAGTTTTGGCCCACAGTGATTAATTTCAGATATATCATACATTTAGACTAACCCTTCAGGAGTCGTTTTAACTTTGCACAATCCACATTGATATACTGCAATAATTCTATATCATGGACATCAACACTGTCTTCTGAACAAACAGTCAATTCCTGTAACCTGAAAAGTAAAAACCAAAAAATAATTTATCAATTTAAGTATTAAGATATCCTAAAATTCTAAATTTAACAGATTCTTCCCACAAGAATGAGTTTATACGAATAAAGACACTTAAGAGAATAAATATTTCTTATAAAAATCTAAAGGACCTGAAGCTTGGGATCCTCCTTCATCAGCCTGCATTGCTGGGATTACAGATACGTATCTCTGCACTTGGCTTTACGTTTTTTTAATTCTTTGGTGCTGGACATCAAATAGACCCCAAGGTCTTGCTCACAGTCAGCAAGTGCTGTACTACTAAGCTACATCCCCAGGCATCACCCTGATTTATTTGTGTGTGTGTGTGTGTGTGTGTTATTTTACCAAAATGTAACTTAGTTTTTATTTACGTATTGCTGAAAATATTAATAGGTTCATAAGGCATGATAAACTAGTAAACTCTGTAACCCTATCTTTAAGAATGAGGAAGCTGAGGCTGGGGATTTAGCTCAGCGGCAAAAGCACCAGGTCGTGAGTTCGATCCCTGGTTCCACAAAAAAAAAAAAAAAAAGAATGAGGAAGCTGGGCAAGGTGGCACACACCTGTAAACCTAGCACTTGGGAGGCTGATATAAGGAGGACAGCCATGAATTCAAGGCCAGTCTGGGCTACATAATGAGTTAAAGGCCAGCTTGGACTACACGATGAGACCCTATCTCTAAAAACCAAAGACTGAGGTGTCTCAATTATATCTCCCACAGCCAGGACTCTCTGAGAAAATTAGTTAATTCCAGAACTGGGACAGCAGCCAGTTAAAGATGAGACTTGGTCATCTTGAGTTTGAACACAAAGAAATTACCAACAGCTGGCAGAGAGTCATGTCAAAAATCACACATGTGTGCTCTTAAATGAACTCTGAAAGGTCAAAAATGAGGTAATCTGAGCATCAGAAGAATTATGTCTACATCAGACATAGTGGCCTGTAATCATGTAAACATCTATGCCTGTAATCGCAGCACTTGGAGACTGAGGCAGGAGGTTATCAAGATCCAGGCCAGCCTGGCCTACATAGTAAGACCCTGGCTCAAAAAACAAATGAACGAAAAACAACCTTCCCTAAAAAGAATTATATCTATAATTTAAACACAAAATATGTAAAACCCCAAGTATTAGAACTGAGGGGGAAAAAACTCACAGACAACCTTCCACAGCAATTGGGGTACAAACTCATTCTGAGAATGAATGAGAAAAAGTCAAGCCTTTATCCTGAATTCTCTATACACACTATACTGGAGAATAAACACATAAACATAAAGGAAATATCTTTTACAAGAAGTACAACTCAGTGCCAAAGGTACTGGGTTCAATCTCCAGCACTACCAAAATCATTTTAAAGTAAAGACAGGATACAAAATGTACCATTTTATAGCCCTCACTGGCATAATCACCCAATGATCAAAACACTATCAAAAACATTAAAAAACACTGTTAAAAACATTAAAAATTTAAAGCAAACCTTCTAATAAATGGACAATGTCAAAAACATCTGAATCCATCAACCAGAATACTACAAGTGAGATACTAGGGCACTTTTCTTGATGTGATGCATTAGGAACTACTTACACCATCTGTAAAGTACTCTTGTCCCCCACCATGAATCTAGGAATCTGAATCCATTCACACTCAGCCAAACACAGAATACAGAAAACAGAAAACAGAAAACATGACAAATAACTCAATTAAACAAATGCTGTACACAGCACAAAAAACATGAAGAGAGGAGAAAAATGAAGAACCTATACAAATTAAGAGAAATTTAAGAGAAACATCAGCCAATTGCTAGATATAACATACTATTTACATACTGATTTAAAACATTTTTTGAGAGGAGAAAAATTTTAAAACTTGGGAGTAACAGACAATACTAAGGAGTTATGATTTTTACTAGCTGTAATGGTGATACTGTAATTTAATGGTAATTTAAATTTTCTTAAATATATTACAGATACAAATTGAAAACTTTAGATGAAATGACGTATCTGACCTTTGTTTTTTTTTCTTTTTGAAAAAGTTTTTACTGTGCAGTTCACACTGGCCTTGAACTCACTACATAGCCCAAGTTGGCCTCAAACTCACAGTGATCCTCTTGTTTCAGCCTACCAAGTACTGGCATTACAGAGACCAGCATGCCTAGCTGAGTTTTGCTTAAAAGTACTAAAAATGGAGTTGAGAGAAATAATAAATAAATTGTAGAATACTATTAATAGTTGGGACAGAATAAGAGATACACAGGTATTTGAAATGCTGTTTTTTTCACATTGTGTATTTTAAGTTTTCCATAGAAAGAGGTATGGGTGTAGTGCTGTAGTAGAACACTCGCCTAGCTTGTGCAAGGTCTTGTGTGCAAGCCCCAGAACCAAAAAAAAGAAATTCCCTTAATGCTAAATAATAAAGGAATAAATTTTTCTACAACTGTTCACTAACAATCACAGGTATTACATTTTCAAAAAGTGGTATCACTCATGTATTAAATGTTGCTACTCAAAAAGGCACCCTCATTATTTCCATTAATAGACATCAAAAATGTAAATAGGACAATGGAGTTACTAATTTTTTAATGCAAGAAGAGAGAGTTGGAAATCACAAATATTATATGGCCTTATTCATAACTTGAATTTTAACCATTTTAGTACTGTTTAAAACTTACTTATTAATCCTCATACCAAACCTCTAGTTTGGTATGACAAATCTAGTTTGGTTTGACAAATCAAATCAAATTCTTCCTTCTCAGGTTGTCCTTTCACTAATTTAACCTTATGATAGTCTAGCTAACATAAAAATTATTGTAAGTGATTACACTGAAGTATTTCACCAAGATAAAAAAAACTTAACAGTTCAAACTGGGAAGGGAAGGTCCCCAATACTTACTAACATGCTAAAAATTCCACAGTTGCTGCAAAAGCAGCTAGAAATACAGAGCATAACTCCTTAGAAAACACAGCATAATAAACTAGCAACACTACCTTTTGAAAAGCTGATTAGTTATTTGTGAATGCCTTCAACAGTTCAGTTACTGCTATAGGGCAAGACATTTGCTGATGCTTAAACATCATTTCTACTTACGCACAATACCACTGTGCTGCACCTCAGCCCTAAACAGCTTTTCTAAAGCCTGCAAACCAAATCAAATCAAATCAAGGGTAGTTGGAGCAAAAAAAGTACAGATAACCTATCCCTAAAATTTCCAAAAATGCAAGAATTTCTGGGTGTAGTGGCATACACCTGTAATCCTAGCATCAGGAGGCTAAGGCAGGAGGATCTCCGTGAGTTCAAGGCCAGCATGCACTACATAGTGAAACTGTCTCAAAAAATAGAGGGGCTTGGGGATTTAGCTCAGCGGCATAAGTGCCTGCCTTGCAAGCAGGCAGTCATGAGTTCGATCCCTGATACCAATGAAAAAAGAAAAAGACAAAAAAAAAAAAAAAAAGCAAGCAAGCATATAAAGCTTTTTATGCTAATAAATCATGGGTTAGAACTGGCACCTTGCATAGAACATGAACTAGAAAGCACTATACATTCTTTTATACAAAGAAAATGTCCACCAGTATCCATCTTATGTCCAAAACTAAATACTTCGTTAGACCAAATGCATACCTATCCCAGCACTGTCCAAGCCCAGGGCTACAAAATTCACTAAGAAAATACAGGCTTCACTAAAGAAGAGTTGAAGCCAGACAAGGTGGAGCATACCTACCATCCCGGCTACACTGGAGGCTGAGGTAGACAGATGGTAAGTTCAAGGCCTGTATAGGCAACTTAGTGCCAGCTTGTCTCAAGGTAAAATTTAACCTTAACCGTAGTAGAAAGCCCCTGGGTTCGATCACCAGTAACACATACACACATACATACATACACACACACACACACACACACACACACACACACACAGATTACATAGAGGAAACAAATCTCTATAAAAGCACATACAAATACGTGATTTAACAATGTTAAAGAGGATTCGAGCAAAGATGGCGGATAGATAACAGCAGGCTACAGAGGATCCCTGAGATAGTCAACTTAGAATTCAACATAATTCAGCGTGGGAAGTCCTGAACAGAGGGAGATGAATTCTCTCATCCCAAGAAGAAACTAAGGTGAGAAGAACCAATCAAACATACAGTCCCAGTGCTATTATTGCAACAGCTAATGGTTCAGTGCTCCCACCACAGCGGGGGACTTGCCAAGCCATCCAAGTTCCCACCGCTTCGACTCACAGGAGGCACAGTCACACTGAGGTCAGGGGTCGGCCAGCTGAACAGACAGCTGAGCTGGTGGGGAGTCTGCATCAACCTGTGGTGAGTGACGGGAGGGGATCCATTCCACAGAAATGGGGGCTCCAGTGGATGACATTCTGGGACTGGGCAGGATGGCAAGTACAAGGGGCAGCAGTGACTTCAGTCAATTGTTCCCTTCCTGAATGGGATTGGTGGAGTGAGCTAGGCCTGGGTCATGTGACCTGGCTGAGACCCAATAGGTTACCTGAAATCAACTCCCTATGGCAGTGGCACACACTAACCACACTAAGCCAGTGAAGCCTCAGAAGTCTGACTGATCTGGAGCGGAGGCAGTGCACAGTCACACAGTGAAGGTCTCAGCAGTTTGACTGATCCGGAAGGGAGGGGCCAGCATACGCTGTCCCTGTCTGCAACTCACTAGCACACTGCAGTGGGAAGGGTCACCTAGCCAGCTGCTTCAGAAAAATTGTAACCAACAAAGAAAGAAACTGGGGCCTCCTGGAAGAAACAAAAAAGATGGAAACAGGAAGCAACAATAAAAAGTCCCCAGGTCCCAATCCTGAGAACATTGACCGAGGACAGGTAAATACAAAGGAGAATGAGAACAACAAACATGCAATATCAGACACAGCACCAGTTGATATAAAGAAATATCTTCAGAACCTCATAGATGAGTTCAAAGGGGAAATATTTAGCCAAGTAAAGCAAGATATAAGAAGATTAATAA